AATTCCTTATCCTTTCAATATGTATCAGTGAACTTAATACTTACTCTTTAGTTCTCAATTTCAAACAATTTACCTACAATGATAGTTAGGACCCTGATGCACCCTTACAATTAATTTTACTTTTGGAAACCCACCACTACCCCATCCTATACATTTTATACCCTTTAAATTTAAGAATAAATCAATTAACTGATGAAAGTTTTCGTACAATTCAAAAACATAGAACTATAAAACTTTTAATATTGATTAAAAAGCAAGTTTTGAAAGTACACTGAAGAACTTACCTGACTCAGACTCCTATATGGACAATTACATATCAGTTTTAAAGCACTACTCTAATATGACATCTAAAGCCTATTTAAAATTTAAGGACTGTCAAATAATTTTTTTATGTGAGTAAATTTTAAACAACATATGCTCAAAACTACTTAAACGCATTTACACTTATCCTACTGAGTTTGCACCTTTTGTTATCCTGGGGTTAGAGGGGTTTGTGGCATGGCAGCTGATACAAGTGTGCAGTGGGCATCGAAATCTCTTGTTTTCAAATACAGTTGGTGGATACTTTCTCACACACTCCTCGTGGTAGAACTTGCCACACAGAGGAACATTACAACGTTTAACATCAGGCCCATTCTTCTTACACACAAAACATGAGTGAACGCCTGCACAAAATAATGAAATAAAAACACAACTAATAATCAAAAATCAATCTTTTTTCAAGTTCAATAATACAATATGGATGTGATAATAAATTTAAAAATCTAACACTCCTTTAAAAAAGATGCATATATTAAATCATAGTCTATTGCAGCTTTCATATTATACTATTGTCTTTGGTCATCTTAGTACACGCAGTCTTGACCTGCTGCAGCCAATTGCTGTATATAGATGCATGGTATTTGAGTTCCAGAATTTTGACTGTATTTCAATGAAAGAACAACGACTGTATTTCCACGTCAGAATAGTTGTAGGTGGTGGTCCCAGGAGTCTGCTATATTTGTCCTAGGTTATAGAGATTGCAAGTTTGGGACATGCTATAGAAAGGACTGAGTCTTGTAGATGATACACTCTGCCGCAATGGCACTGGAGGCGGAGGGAGTGAATGGTTCAAGCACTGGATGGGACAGGCCTGGCCAACAAATTGGCTGCTTTGACCTTAATTGTTTTGAACTTCTTTAGTCATGTTGGAGCTGCACTTATTGATGCAATTCACCAAACCCACAAAAACCACCATCTAGAAGGACAAGGGCAGCAGATACGTGGGAACACCATCACCACCCTGCAAGTTCCCCTCCAAGCCACTCACCATCCTGATTTGGAAATATATGGCCACTGTTGCTGGGACAAAATTCTGGAATTCCTTCCCTAACAACATTGTGGGTCAACCTAAACGATCCAGAATGTAGCAGTTCAAAGTCACAGCTCATCACCACCTTTTCAAGGGCAATTAGAAACTGGCAATAAATGCTGGACAGCTAGCAATGCCCAGTCCTACAAGTGAATAAAAAAACTTCTACCACCTAGAAGGGCAAGGGTGGTAGAACACCACGTGTGTGTTTTCGTGCAAGACACACATGATACCATTTTCACCTGGAAATAATATTGCTGTTCCTTCCCCAAAATCCTAACATACATTCGGACACCAGCAAGTGTCCCTACATGCGAAGGACCAACCAGCTTCTCCACTGTAATTAGGGATGAGCAATAAAGCTGAAGCACAAAGGGTCGTGGAAGTCCTACTTCAGGATTCTCTTAAAGTTAACATACACATTCAGCTGGCAGTTAGGATTTCAAGAGGTCACAAATACAAGAACTGGGATATACTGCTGAAGCAGTATAATAAACTGGTCAGACCACATTTGGAATGTTGTGAGCAGTTTTGGACCCCATATCCAAGGAAAGACGTGCTGGTGTTGGAGGTGGTTCAAAGGATGAAGGGTTTGTCAACATCAGGAGCAGTTGAGGACTCTGAAGGATTGGCGGGGGGTGGAATCTGATTGAAACTTACAGAATACTGAGAGGCCTGGATAGACTGGACATGAAGATGATGTTTCCATTAGCAAGACAGTTTAGGGCCTGAGGGCAGTCTCAAAGTGAAGGAGATACAGAGGAATTTCTTCAGCTAGAGGGTTGTTAATCTGTGGAACTCATTGACGCAGAGGCCTAGTTATTAAGTGTATTTAGGACAGAGGTAGGTAGATTCTTGATTAGTAAGGGGATCAGTGGTTACATGAGGAAAGATTTAAAAACAAAAAGGACCTGAGGGTTAACTTTTTCACATGGAAGGTGGTTTGCTTATGGAACAAGCTGCCAGAGGAAGTGATGCAGGCAGGAACAATTGTATCATTTAAAAGACATCTAGATAGGTGTATGAATAGGAGATAGTAGGAACTGCAGATGCTGGTGAATCCGAGACAACAAGGTGCAGGGCTGGATGAACACAGCAGGCCAAGCAGCATCATAGGAGCAGAGAGGCTGACGTTTCGGGCCTAGACCCTTCATCAGAAAAGGGGGAGGGGAAGGGGGCTCTGAAATAAATAGGGAGAGAGTGGGAGGCGGATAGAAGATGGATAGAGGAGAGGATAGGTGGAGAGGAAACAAACAGGTCGAAGAGGCGGGGATGGTCACAAGTTTCAAAATCTCCCCTCCCCCTACCGCATCCCAAAACCAGTCCAGCTCGTCCCTGCCTCCCTAACCTGTTCTTCCTCCCACCTATCCCCTCCTCCCACCTCAAGCCGCACCTCCATCTCCTACCGACTAACCTCATCCCGCCCCCTTGACCTGTCCGTCCTCCCTGGACTGACCTATCCCCTCCCTAACTCCCCACCTACACTC